TCCGGCCAGCCAAAGGTGACGCCTGGCGTAGCATGGGCTCTTATGGGCGGCTACAGCAAACCCAGGCGTCACCTTTGGCTGGCCGGACTATACTGTACCGCATGCAGGCGTGCGGGCGGGCTTGCCTACCGTCTCTCACCACGGCGCCTTCCAAGTGGACAACGCGTTCACACGCCTGCACTGCGGTCCGCGGGGGGCAGAACGAATTGAACCCTTTCTGCTTGAAATGTATGAAATGTAGATATCAGAGGGAGGGGGCCAATTCTTTATGCAGTGATCGAACAGGATACGTGTTTTACGGCGGACTTCATTCTGGTACACACATGCAGGTGTGCGAACGAGTTTCATATTCGCACCGGGAGAGTGGGTCCACTTAGGCCAGCACATCTTCGTTTCACTGTCGGTTGCCTACATTGAGGGTTTTTGTGGCGCAAATTGCTTACCTTTCAGGCGGCTCTCTAGAGACCACTGGGGAGGGTATCCCCCCCCCCTTAATCCGCGCTTGAATTAAGCTTCGCGTGCGCTTAAGCGCAAAACGCGAAAGCCTCTAGCTCCCGCTCCGGTCCTCCTCGACAAGACTTTTCTGTATGTCGTGTCGAGTTGGATACAGTAGCATATTGCCAAATAAGAACGAACCCCTATTTATTGTACCGTACTTATGAGTTGTACGCTGTATTTGCTTCCATGAGGCTGATTAGAACACGATTCTTGCTTCAGATTTACCAGGGGGATGAGGGGGGGGGGTGCTTGCACCGATAACTGGACTTTGATAGACTGTCTCGCCATAATCAAAATGTGAGAAGCATTGTAGCGCAAGACAATTATGTCCTCCTGCACGACGTGTGAGGCTGTCCGGCAACCGGAGAAGACTCCGATCCCGTGCGCTATGGCGGCGCGGACGCCGCGCCGTTATGCGCGTCGTCGGGTCGCGGCCGCGGCGCCGCGGGACCGCGGACCCTCCTCCGCTCGCTTGGCCTGCTGGGCTGCGGCGTCGGCTAAGGGCCAAGGGTGCCATAAAAATAGACCAAGCCTCAAGCCAGACTTCAAGGCGCCTCAATCATAATTTGAGGGCCCGATTATAAGGCGGCCCTGAGGAGCGCACTCACCACTGCGCACCCACACCCCACCGCGCCCGCGCGCGACATTGTTTAATGTTTACCCGTTGTAAACTAATAAACCATCGAAGACGGACGACATGACGTCTTTATGTGCCTCTGAGGTCCCCCAAGCTAATCGCTCTGAATGATTTGCGACGTCCATTGTGGCCTCCAGGGAGGTGTCTGGTGCCTGACAGAGGTGCGAATCGTACATAAATCTGCTTCAAACGGTACCAGTCGAATTTGAAATTAATCAATGGAATCAATGTACCAATCTTCCAAATGTAAAACACCTCTACTTGAAAGACGAGTCTTATCGACTTCTTACTGTCATAAATAATGCATAATTCTGGGAAGGGTCATAATTCTACCTTTTATGGTTGTTTTGGAGGTTCCTAAATGAGAGTTGTCACTGACAGCATAATAATATTGTTCCTATCACAGTAGCAATGTTGGTTGCTTTGGAAGCGTGTCAAAAATGGTGGCTTAGGTTTTCACAACATCCGTTTGTGGATGAGGTTTTCTCTTGCTCCTTAAGAAAAATTTGTTTTATTGGGTTATGATTGAAAAACAATTGCAAAGAAGTGGTTCAAAACATATTGGTACGTTAAACGATCGTGTTTTTCATTATGTGTTGATCAGCGTTTCGACCCGGGCGTAACTTGCAGGTCAGGTTTAAATTTATGAGATTAGACCATTTGAACACATAATCATGTCAGTTGTTATCAAATAGTTTTGTACCCTTTCTTTAGCTGTATTTTCCATTTTCCTTGCCAAGATAATTTTACAACGATACACACTATTAGGCCGATCTATTTGCTAGTTTTAAATAATGAAATGACAAGTGTTCATGTAGTATCGATGACGCCTTTATAGAATTTTGGCGTAAAAGAAACTGTGACAAATATGGACCTTATTTACATTTTTTATCTTATGCGTAGTGCAGCACTATTAGTCAATAATAACTGTCATACCTTTTCCATTTCTTGTAGCACTTGATTTGAGGTTAAACGATTGTATTTACTGACTGATACTGATGCCTCCGCGACGAGGTTATGCTCCTTCGGCGTCTTAAACTTCAATTATTTCAAGTTCTCTGTGCTTTAACAAGATGAACACCGCTTACTTTATCACTTGTCTTGCTCTTCATAATCATTTAGGCTCGGTTTTACTTTCATTTATTTTCTGTCTGTGATTTAAAGGCGCGTTAATTCCCTTTGTGTACAAAATAAGTGAGGTTATGTGCGTGGCCTACTTCAATGTTTTTATGCTATTTCCTCAATATCAGCTGTATCATAATAATTCGAAATTCGATTGATTTAATTTCCTATTCACGGTATTCTCAATTTCTTCCTTTTTAGTGGCACATTTCTTGTTGGAGGAATGGTCGGGAGATCTGTCGATGTGTTATGATTCATGTGTATTTCTAAGTCGTTGGATCTGAAAAGCCTTCCAGTTTTAAAAATTATGTCCTTATATTTGCCCTTTCTTTTTTGAAGTGTAGACCTCAGTCAATGTGTTGTTAATGAGTTGATACAAGTCCATGGATTACCAAGGTCTTCCATTCGAACTTCAAGCCCTCTGTTTCTTTCCTTCTGTCATGCATTTTTTTTCTTTTTCAGGTTTCAACAACCTGACTAACATTGTCCATCTGTGATGGGCAAAGTAAAGCAATTTTTATAGTTCAATGAAGTGCGCAAGTTGCGCACTGAAGAGAGATCTCTTTGATCACAGGCCTCATGTGTGGGCTATGGCCCCAGGCCAATGTACCCATGCAGAAGAGCAGCCTATTGTTGTTAGTTGCAATCCATGTTGAGACATCCAGACACATCCTGGATACTTCAAACTGGATCGGTAGGTTTTGTGAAAATTGTGTACCTTTGGCTCCCTCTAAGCCTAAGTGTTTTTTATTCTGTTTATTTTGTTCCTTGTTAACAGTGACTTATCAGCCTTGGAGTCCTTGCAGGGGGTGAACAGTAGGCCTGTTAGTTTTCATCCACTTGGTTATATTCGTATAATATCTTTCCAGGAAGTTCTTACAATGTTATTGTTTTAGGGCTCAGATCGACTTACGCTGGAGCACATAGTGGACGGACTGCAGAGTGTGGTGGAGGTGCGGGGGGGTGGCCACACCAGTGTGGGCAGCACTCAGCCCGGACAACTCGTGCTTACCACACAGCAGTTGCAACAGCTTCAACAACTGCAAAATGTGGATCCATCGGCATCTTTTACGCTTACTCTTCAGGCACCACACACGGTTTGTATTTTTTATTTGTCAGATTTTACATGCAAGACATGAGTTTCTGAAATGATTGTATGCTGCTCATCATGCTCCATCTAATATATTATTTTTGGTGCAGACTCTGAGTTCAGGCCCTATTGCTAGTGCTTCAGCATCAATAGTTACATCAGTTTCAAGTCCTTCTATCCTGGGCCAACAACATGGATATACCTATTCCACCGCTGGTCTCCGACTTGGCAATTCAACCGTACCACTTACAACCACCCTTGCAGGATCCTTACCGGCTGCTTTTGCAGGGTCATTGCCTCCAGGTCTTCAGGGACTTGCTTCTTCCCTTGCCTCGGGTCTCTCTCTCCAGGTTTGTTCCTTCTCAATATGTTGAAGTTGGAAAATTTAATTGTTAATAGCTACATATTTCACCGACATGTTTGTCTAACTTTTTTTGGTTTTAAGGCTCTCCCCTTGGCACAGCAGCAAAGTCAGACTCTTATCCAAGGTCAAAACACTGGCCTGACTACAGTACAAAGTCATGGCCAGAGTCCTAGTCCAAGTTCAGGTCATGCTGCCGCAGTGCCTGGCCCTGCCACTGGTCCCACTGCCTCTACTCCTGGACAAAGTCAGGCAGCAACGCAGGGTCAGACTCTCTCTAACCAAGGAGGACTTATTACTCTTGGTCCCCACAATATTCAAGTTGGATCAAGTGGAATTGTTGTTGGAGGGTCAGGTATGATATCCCAAATTTTCATCATGCCTTAAACATATATATTTAACTGTAGACTAATTGTGGCCGCCTTCTTTCAGGTTTACCTGTAGGAACCCACATATCTCAAAGTGCTCCTTCATCCATCTCCTCTCCGGGATCCCCATTTTCATTGCCTACAAGGTCACCAGCCCCTCCCCATGCACCCCCAACACCCTCTCCGAGCCCAGGAGTTCTATTACGCTCTCCAGCTACTCCTCTTTTGCCCCCTTCATGTTCATCACCAGCTCCATCACCTTACCAGAATCCACGACAGAGTCCTCAGTATCAAGGAAATTTTCAACCAACTTCAGGCAATGTCAATAATGGTGCCATATCCGTAGGAATTCCTATTCGCTCCCCAGCTCCACCCTCCCTAACCCCAGTTCCTTCACCATCACCACAAAACCGAACTGCCCCCTCTCCATCATCTGCTACACAACAACACACAGCTGTTATTCATCAGGTAAATTCTTAATCTCAGAAATTACAACCTGTTCACTTCAAATATTGACATATTAAATTCTATCTACAAAATTTGCAGGCTGTTTCATCGCAGGTATCTGCCCTGGGACAGACAGTTCTTCCAATGGTTGCTCAAAGCCCTGCCCAACAGCTGGTCCAAATAATTCAACAGCAACAGCAATCTGCTCTTGCAAGTGGAGCAAATACAATTGCAACATTTTCAGCCGGCCGCACCACCCAAATCATATCTAATCAAGGTAATTTTTATGGAAAATTTCTTATGTATCATACTGTGGTCTCCTCCTGTCAAAACATTTCAAGGGACTCTCATATCCCTATATCAACTCAAATATTCGATGCTAGATTTTGTTAATTCATTTAAGTTAAGTGTTGTGAGACAAAGAAGCCCCATATTTTGTTAGTTAGGTCACATTGCAAAGCCAATGTACCTCCACTGTGCACCAACACTATACTGGGGCCTCATACACCCAAACAACACCCAGCTTGTTGAATGGATTGGGAGTATTTATTTGTATTTGGGTAAATGTTGGATTGAATGCAGTAATTGCATTAAATGTTGTATGGGATGGTCGTAACTGGTATTTGTGGTCTGCATCTATGCAATAGTTGTTAAGACCTGTTCAATTTGTCTGAGGCAAGCATTGTATGAAGGGTGGGGCAACTTCATATCAGCATGACAACCATGTACTATATCAATTTGCATCTTTATGTGTGTCTTTTGTCCTATGCATGTGCATGACCAGAAAATCACAAAACTCTCTTCAGAATAATTGATGAGTCCCAATCAGTATTCAAATATTTCTTAACTAAAGGAACTTGTATCAGCAAGAGTATTTGGGGGGAAAGCAAACTCCCTCTTTACAATTTTGTTACTCATTTCACTGTGTTTAAATTTGTATATAGTATCTATTTTAAGTCTCTTCATTGTTTCCAATGTTCCATGTTACTGTATCTATAACAAATCATCTTCCATTCATTCTGTGCAAAAGGGTTCTCTTTCGCTTCCTTTCTTTTCCTGACCTGTGCTATCAATTTCAATCTTTCTGGCAGTTTTTGTTTCATTGTGCTGAGTGTATGGTGCAAAATATAAAATGGGCGACTAGAAATATTTATGTAATGTATATGTGTGTTTGTGTGTGCCTGCAGCAAGCAATATGATGACGGTTCCAATTCAGGCAGCTCTGAAGGCTACAAAACAGCATCCTCAGATACTACCGAAACCCCCTGCTAACCCTGGCTCTGCTGGTGAGGATTGCTTTGTTCATATGCAATCATTGGAATGTTATGTTTGGAAGTCGTATTATGACTATTTTTCTCTGCACAGAAGTAGTTTTTTATTTTATCTTCTTTTATCGCTAGAAATTTGCTAGAAGTTTCCTCAGGCATGTTCTTTTTATTTTCAGTACTGTAGTATAACATACTGTGGACACACCGTAGCATGACAGCGTTGGTTTGATGTAATACCTTACACTCTGTCCCTGTTATTCTTTGTTTGGAACCATTCCACCTTTCTTAAATACTCAACATTTAAGCTGCTTTTATATCTGAAGTGCTTGAAATTTGCAACTGAATTTTTTCTGTTTTATGTGTTTGGTTTGCTTGCATAGTTAACCAGGTGTGGTTATTGTACAAATATGGCAGATCATGTTAGAATGGCATTCGCTTTGTAGACTTATACAGCAAGGTTTGTTGCACATCTATTTGAACCATGTACATTTTATGTTTTCAATGGAAAACTTATGCTTGCAGGAACAAATAACAACAAAAACCGAGTAACAGCTACTAGTACATCTAATGTGACGGCAAGCCATTTGCAACAGACCCCTACCCAACTTGTCATTGGTCAAAGTAATCAGACTGCCACCGCTGGTGCCTTTTTATTGAATTCTGTAAGTCTATCTTGTGTCTGTGTGTGTATGACATTAATTCACCTTGATTCCGTAAATGATTGTTAACAATCTAAAAAAAATCATCTGTTTCAGATGATGGGTGGGCTGACATCTGGTACCCCAATGATAGTTCAGCAACAAAGCAGTGGTATGCAGTTGATTCTCAGACCGCAGGGACCTACAGGAGGTCAAGCACAGGTTCAGGCTACTCAGCACACCACTCAAACTCAAGTTCAGCAAAGTAAATCCGTTGTTCTTGGTAATGGTAGCGGACTAGGGGCTCCTGGCACTGTTTACATAGCACATCATCCAGCACAGGTAATTTGAGTTTTATATCAAAATTAAATTAAAATCCTTTATTGCAAGTTGGATTGAGAATATTTTTTTAAATTTCCAGACAAACCGCCAAGCCCCAATGTTCAGGATTATCACTACACCTGGACCACCAATGCTTCAACAAATTCAGAGTGGTCCAACACTTATTCTTCCTCAAGGTCTGGGATCTCTGAGTTTTCCCATGACTCATTTATCTACTGGGTCCCCTCAGCAAGCCACTCATCAAAGTCATCAAATTATAGCCCAGCCATCGTTCACTCAACAAACTCAAACAATTCAACAAAAAGTAGTGAGCCTACCATCACATGTTCCTGTGTCCTTAGCAAGTCTTCAACAGCAACAAAACATATCAACCTCACTGGCAAGTCAGTTGCCAGCATCTATTGCTAGTCAAATTGGGACATTGCCAGTAAATGTGGCTGTATCCCAGCATCAACAGTTATCAACCCTTCAGGCTCCTGTATCAGTGTCACAAGCCAACCTTCACATTCCAGTGTCAATGGCAAGTTTGGTGACTCAAGCGCATCTACATAATCAGGAAAAGTTGGTCAGCCAATTAGCATCAAATGTTTTGGTAAAAAATAAAAAAAAAAGCACCGTCACTACACCTGCTTTATTAAACCTTGAGTGCAGTAATATCTTTATTAATTTGTTCCATTGTTTTACAGGATTGTGGGAATGGATTTGGAGGCTTGACTACTTCACAAATTCGCTTGTGTAGTCCTGTTAGTAGTGCTAACAGTGTAAGCTCTAGCTGGCAGAATATCATAAGTTCTCCGCCTCCAATTCAGGAACATCACTTATCGTCATCAGCACCTATTGTGTCCACTCAGCAGACAGTCCATACCCAGCAGACTGTGCTGCATCAGACACAATCTCAAACTCAGATTCAGCAACAACAGATTCAACCATCTCAGCACCAACCAATTCAAATTCAACCACCACCAGTTCCACCTCCTCCCAAACCAAAAAAGAAAAAGAGCAAGAAAAAGAAAAAGGATGAAGAGCCTAAGCTGGACTTGGCAAATATTATGAAGCTTTCTGGTATGTTTCAAAGAGTTCTTTTAAAAACAACATTAGTACCGCAAATCGATTACCTTACTTTTGCTCTTTTTCTAATCCTGTATTGTGACAATGGTGAGATTGAAGCTAATCTTGTTTAATGCTTTTCTTATGTTAGGTATTGGAGATGAGGATGACATTGGTCCTTATGAAACTGAAGATCCTTCAGTTATGGGTAGTATTGGAGCAGGCTTAGAAACTCAGGCAGTTGCAACCCAAGCTACACCTACTACAATGGCACCTGCAGGGCTGGTACCTGCTCCTTCTCCTCCAGCAGAACCACTTAATTTACAGGTACAGTATTACTAAGCATTATCAATATTTTTTAAATTGTATTTTCACTCAAGCACAAACATTTTCACCTTTTTTTTCTGTCTTCTACAATCTTATATTTTTATTTTTCCAGGGTCTCAAAATGGTTGTGAATGAAGATGGACAAATTAGTTTACTTCAGAAGTTGAATGACGGCACTACAGCACCTATCACTGCCCAGGTAAGATGTAGCAATTTACGGTAGCTAAATCTTTGTGTCAGTTTTAGCCTATGCAAAAATATGCAAAGTACTTTTTAAAAAAAATTCTCACTGGGTTTATGCCTTTCTTTTGCTTTTCAGTCACTTACTTCAGCCAATGCTCAACTTTTGCTGCAAGGGCTCGCTGCTCAAGCTGCACTGCCAGGGGGGCAATATGCATCCCAAATTGCTGCAGCTGCTCACAGTCAGCTTACTCAACTACTTGTTAACAAGCAGAGCACAGCTAGTCCATCTTCTCAGGTAAGTTTATTCACGGCCTTCCAATTAAACCAGTAGGTTTTGGTTTTGTTTTAAGACTTTTTAAATTTTAGGTAAATACTACCCCACTATTATCATCCGTGGGTAAGCTGGCCAATGTGAATTCCAGCACAAGTCAGTCATCACAAGTGGCCGCAACTGTAACTAATGTCAACCGGCTGATAGCAAATAGCAATCCTGCTGTTAGTAGCATGACTGCTCCAGTTAATTCTGTTTTGCCTCAAACAATCAAGAATCAAACTACAGTACTACCAAATACTGTAACTGGTATTCAACAACAACCTGCTGTCCCTATGCTGTCACAACCAACAGCATTGCCCTCTCAGCCGTCTGCACCAGCAGCGTTTGTGACAGTTCAGCCCACAGTGCCATCTCCAGTAACTCTTCCCACAAACCCCACCCCTCAATCTTCTACTCAACCCACTCTCTCTTCCATTGCCACTGAACAACTTCCTCAGCCGTCATCTTCAGTTCCTAATACTACTTTGACATCGACTATCAATTCCACCAAGTCTCCTTCTACCTCTGGGATCAGTCCAGCATTGGAGCAAGCCTTTATGCAGTATCTTCAGGTGTGGAAAATCTTCTTGCTTCTCCAATGAAGGAGTTCTACTCTAAAATAAACCGTAGGATTAAATTCTACCTGTTCAAATTTTGTTACAGAATGCTGGATTGAACACAGAATCCATTATCATTAGTACACAAAATGGCGTTCCTACTGTAGTTGGTGGAGCACAGCTTCTTCAGCTTCTTCAACAAGCTCAGGCTCAAGCTCAGATCCACGAACAATTGCAACTCCAACAACAGCAACAACAACAGCAGCAGCAGCAGCAGCAGCAGCAATTGCAGCAACTCCAACAACAGCAGCTACAACAACAACTGCAGCAGCAACTACAGCAGCAGTTCCAGCAACCACAGATCCAAGTAAATATGATTCATTTACAATTGCTTTGACCCATTTGTTACACTGTTTTACCATTTTTGATTAAATTTATTTTACTCAGGTGCAACAACAGCTATCTTCATTGCAACTGCAACAGCTAGTGTCGCAGTCACAGTCTCAACCACAACCACAGCTTCTACCTCAAACCCAGTTACAACCTCAACCTCCTCCTCCCCAGCCTCAGCCCCAACCTCAACCTCAATCTCAACTCCAACAACAACTCCAACTCCAACTCCAATCCCAACCCCAACTCCAACTCCAATCTCAACCCCAAATCCAACCCCAAATCCAACCCCAAATCCAACCCCAACTCCAACAACCCCAACAACCCCAACAACCCCAACAACTCCAATCTCAACCCCAAATCCAACCCCAAATCCAACCCCAAATCCAACCCCAACCCCAACAACCCCAACAACCCCAACAACCCCAACCTCAACTCCAACAACCCCAACAACCCCAACCCTCTCAGCCTCAACCTAAACCTCAGCCCCAACCTTCCTCCCAGCAGCAAGTTTCCCAAGTTTTGCAGCAGCCCTCAATTCATATTCAGTTGCCACAAGCTCTGCCACAAAAAGTTACTTCAGTGCAGCAATGGGACACAACTAAAATTGTTGAATCAAGCGACCTTTCATCATTGGCTGCTCTTCAGCAGTCAGGAAAAGTTGGAGTTGTTGGGAGTTCAAATGCAGGCATTGGAACTCCAACATCCTCCAGCACTATTGGAATTGGGACAGTTTCTGATTCAATATTGGCCAAAGGGACCAGCAATACAAAGACTGTTTCTCCGGTAAGTTTGCCTCATGTTTTCATTTCTAATTCAAGTCACTCTGATATGTTCTTGAACCCAACTTGGTTTTCTCCTCTCTGTTACTAGGGACTACCTGTAAGAAGAAATTCTTCAGAGCCCACTGCCAGTCCTCGAGTTCAAGTACCTCCTTTCCAGTCGCCCCAGCTTCAAAGCCCCTCAGTTCCAATATCTCAACCAGCTCCACCTTGTTCCACACAAGATCAAGTTGAACAAGCACTAAACAATGCATTTCTGGATAGCCTTGCTCAATCTAGGCCAAACTTATTGATAAACAAAAGCATAAGCAAGCCCTCTAGTAACACAAATATGGATGTTATTCCTAGTATAAATTTAACACCATCCAATCGCAAATCTAAGAAACGAAAGCAACCTCCTAAAGTTAGTGTGACAGTGCAACCTCAAGCTCCGCCACCTCAACAGGCTCAGCCAATACCTGGACAATCTACATCAGTATCATCTTCAAGTATTGGACCCAATAGACTATCAAGTCCAATATTAAATCACAAGGTCGCAAGCAGTGAAAGTGCAATTAAAGTATCTAACATTGTGGGACCAATATCTTCATCTGTGCAAAATACTGAACCAAGCCGGACTACAACTCTTCCGTCCTTTTTTGTTTCAAGCCCTAATTTTACTGTTGTCCCTAAAAACAGTACTACTGCATTAGTAGGAGTGAACGTAGCATCAGGTCAGATGCCTCAATTACCAGCGTCAGTGTTGCCATCATTAACATCCAACATCACGCCATCTACGGCCTCTAGTCAGATTGGTGTTGTGAGCAACAGTGCAATCAAAGTGGTGTCCTCTTCAGAAAGTGTTCCTTTTGTGAATAATACTGCAACAAGTGTTAATACAACACGGCTAAATCACATCAGTACAACTGCTTCATCGAACTCAACAACTGTGAACTGTGTTCGTGTAAATAGCACTACTTCAAATAGTGCTATTAGTGCGTCAGTGCCTCCAAATCTTATTCCTATTCCTACCAATAGTCCATCAGTTGGTGCCCCTGTCTCAATTACTTCTTCAAATCAACTGAGCAGTGTATCTCAAACTCCCAGTGGTACACAGCCAATTCCTCAACAAGCATTTCAACGCGTTCAGGCCATTCAACTGACTGCAGCTAAACAGCAGGTACTGCAATGTGTTTTTAAAAATTGTCTTTACTGAGACTCCTCTGTTTTCTTCCTCTCTCTCCAGTTTTCTTTTCAGCTGCTTTAATCTTTGACCGTACTGAATTTGTGTAACTTTTGTTTTCAGCAAATAAAAACAATACAGCAGCAGCTTACTATGCTGAACAGCAAAAAGGACAAGACATCTAGCGATGAAGATAAAATTCAGAAACTGTTATCTGAGAAACAAAAAATAATTCATAGTGGGAAAGTAGTCACAGATCCAGTGCAGTTAGTAAGTATTTCATTGGTTTTGTTGAGCACTTACTAAGAATAGTTTTTTTTCCTACATCAGTATATTTTAAGATAGATGACAAACATTATGCAAAATTATACTTTACAGGCACAGTATATCGGAAGTGGCTTGGACCCTGTTGTGGAAGGTTCTTTTAAAATTTCTTCAAATCATATTAATTCATCATCTTCTAAAATCCAAGCCAATGCCTCATTCACTGTCAATGTTTCTCCAACTGTAAGTTTTTCTAAATAAAATCTTAATAGTCAAAGATTCTTTGATGCCAAAGAGATTCTTAATGATCACATAATGTTGCAGGTAAATCCAGTGACTACTACTGCCTCCACAACTGGAGTGACTACATCATCATCTGTTCGCTATTATCATCATGTCGGCAACCAAGTGATAACTCTCACACCTCAGCAGCAGCCGCAGCAGCAGCAGTCTCAACAGCAAACTCACCAGCAGTCTCAACAGCAGTCTCAACAGCAGCCTCAACAACAGCCTCAACAACAGCCTCAACAACAGCCTCAACAACAGCCTCAACAACAACCTGCACATCAACCTCAACAACAACAGCAAACAGCACAGATGCAACAGCTACAGCTGCAACAAACATCTACTCAGCAGGTGCCACCTCTACAAGCTCCATCTCCTCAAACTTCCTTGGGCGTTCAAATTCAAGGGCAGCAGCAGTTTAAAACAAGTAAACAAGACCAACAGCGACCAGCTGGGGATTCACAGAGACCCCAATCTGAGCAATCTCGGGACTCAAAGACATATCAGCCTCAACAAGCATTCCAAACAACCCAGCAACATTTCAATCAGTTTTCTCAGGACATCGAATCGCAAGTCCAATCATGTATTAACAGTTTGGATAATTCATTCTTAGATATTCAGTCTGAGTCCCAAATTATCCAACAACTTCAGCAATCACCTGCTTCTCCGCTCAATCAAACAAAGCTGTTGTCACCTTGTCAGCCATCTCAGACTTCTCCAATTCTACCAGTTCTTGAAGCTTCTTCTCAGCCATCTCAACATTTAAGAGTTCCTCTACTACAAGTTCACCAGACAGGAATGTCAATGCCTTCATTGCATTCTCCACAACTACCTGCAGCTCAAGTACAACAAGGGCTGTCATCACCTCAACCTCAACTGACTGCTTCACAAGTTCAATCTCCTCAACTAAATAGATCTCAGGGATTGCTTGTGACGCAACAACCTTCACCATCTCAAAATTCTCTGGCTGTGCCAGTAAGGAATGATGCTGGGAATACCGAAAAAATATCTCCTACTTTTGGCCCAAATAGTCTTTGTGATGGAGCTCACTATCAAACATCAATTCCTTTGTGTGAGCGAGGAACGTCTCCAATTCATGTGGTAAGAACGAAGTCTTCTTTGTACTTATTCTTTGGATAGAAAAGACATATGTTAGTCTTGCATTGTTTTATGTTACAGGTCTTAAATACTCCAGATTCCACTACATCCCCACCGCAAAATGCAACGTTTAGCCCTCATTTTCGACCGTTATCAGTATCTGTTGGATGTGTGAAATCTAGTTTGAGGTCAACAGTTTCTCCCAAACTACCGGTTCTTCACTCTCCTGCCTCTATATGCGCACCATCACCAGCCTCTGTAATCTCAACACAATCTCCCTCATCCCTTTCAGCTCAGTCACCAGCTCTTTCCTCTTTTTCTTGCCCGGGTCCCATGGACCCTATCTTGATTTCACCTCCCCTTTTATCTCTCAAAAGCCGAGTTGCTTCTCGGGTTATAATGTAAGTACTTTTGAAAGAATTATGCAATGTTATTTCGTCTATGGTATGAAACTAACCATTTTTATTTACCAATTTATAGGATTGAGCAGCAAATGAAAGAAGACCAAGAAAGTGCGCAAATGCCAGATACACATGCACCCTTCGTAGGGAAGAGTGATGCTGTTCAACGGCTTATGAGTTATCATGTTTTCAATGAAAAGCTTCTTAGTCAACAAGATCTTGAGAAAGCTGATGAAATTCATGAGCACACCGCTCAACATTTACTCGACAAATTTTCTAACATCACCAACAAATTTCGAAGCCTAATGCTTGCTGAGAGTATGGTAAGTAACAACACTTTAATAACTGTTGTTAAAATTTTCTGAAATTTTATTCTCATTAAGAATGTACATTATCTTATCAATTCAGCGGGAGGTGAGTCTAGCAGAAGTGGTCATGATTGATAGACTGAGAAATGCTGAAGAAGAGTTTCTTACCAAAGCAGCCAAACAGGCTAAAGGTAATTTCCTTTGGTACCCTGGTATTTTTTAAATCTATGTTAGTTCTTTGCCTTTTACTAAGTCTTCCAATTTTATTTTTTTTACATTTTTTTTAGAAGACGCAGAGGAAATTATGGCTGCTGAAGCAGCTGCTGTGAAGGAAGCCCAAGCTGCAGCTCAACAGGCTGCTAAGGTTGAGGAAGCAGTAGCCGCAGAGGTAGCAGAGGCAGTCGCTACTGTTGCTGATGGAGCTGTTGTTTCAATAAATGATGTGGAGGCAGATCTTTGTGGAGTAAAGACTGAATTAAGATCAGAAATTTTGGACGAAATTGCTGGGGACTCTCCTAACCTACAAGATGAGGTTCGAATTGCTAAGACTGAGGCTCTCAAATTAGAAGCAATAAAATGTGAGAAATCTGGTGATGGTAATGAAGAGTACAATGAATGGGAAGCTATCAAACAAGAATTGGGTTATAGACCTCCTGAAAATAGTGATGAAAACAATGTTGTGTCCACAAATTATGGAGAGTGGGAATTAAGTCCATCATTTTGTCCTCCAAAAGAGGAAGAGGAAAGTCCAGACCGAATCAAAAACCAACACAAACGGTGTACTGTTTCTAATGTAAATGGTGAAATGGATGATTTCCTGTGCCCCAAAAAGAAACTTAGAATATATGAAGATATTGATGAATTAGGTGATACAGAGCTTAGTGCTCAAGTACAGAGTGCAATAGATAGCATAATTAATCTTCAGTTGCCACAGTTACCATCATCACCAGAACTTCTTGCCTCTCTCCATGATCATGAAGATGACACCCCAAACCTAATATATAGTTCCTCTTTATCTACTCCATGCCACCAACATGGTCATAACCAGAACAATCCCCTTGTTTCTAGCAATAATCCTCACAATATTCAAAATAGTCATAATTCTAGTTCTACTTCCAATACCGACTCTGCTTTGGATGAGGCTGTTCGAAGTATTTTAACATCTTGACTCAACATGACCTTTATTTTTGAGGAGAATGGATTGGCTGGAAGCTCATCTGTTTTTTTGTAGTTATAGTTTAAATTGTTACTTAAATGATGTTACCTTGGATTTGGACATGTTGGCGTTGTTTAAGGTTCTTTGTTTGTTGTCTCATTGCTCATGAGAAAAAGATGGCCTCACTTTAGGAAAAAAGTAATACATAATAATTTTAAGAACACTATTGTCTACCAAGTCAATGGTTACCTATGTAAATCAATTGTTAAACATTTTTAAAAAAATCTTGTTGTGGGTGATTTTTTATTGTTTTGAATAACGGTGCTTTGAATATGTGAATGACATTCTTTCTTTTGATCTTGAAAGTCATGAAATTTGCCTAACTCGTAGTGGGGATTTTACCTATGTTTTACGATATTTATTTGATGCAACAAACTGAATTACTTTAAAAGGTGAATGTTGTTTTACAACAGAAAAGAGAGGAACAAACTCTCATATTCAAAGCTAGGTGTATTAGTCATATAGGTATTATGTACCTGTTTTGGAATTAATTCGTATCTTTTAGGCTGGGAAGGTCATATTGGTCTTACTTGTTGCACGTAAGGTCTTGTATATTACTGTATTATATTGTAAAGTTAATTTATACTAGTGATAATTTTTTTTTTTCGGAATGCAGGGAAGTAATTTTAACATGTTCGGTGATTTTTATTTGCTACACAAACAATGTCCACCGAGAGGCTACCTGTTGTATGTTGGTTTGTTTATTAGCTTCCATCATGTTTATTTTGTTATCACATATTCTGTTCAGTTTTCCTTGTTATGGAATTTTAATCACATGTAACTACATCACCATCCGTACTTGTCATTTTTGTATTTTATTTTTATTGGTGTTTTTTTTTTCTGTGGTCATTTTCTCAAATGGCATCAGGAATGTCTTGTGATTTGTATTGTGTTCTGTGTAATCAGACTTCAAGTTGTTAATGTAGTATGAAATATTTTCATGCTTTGCTTACTTTCCTGTAGTAGGAATATTAGTCCTTCTTTGCTCCAAGCAAATTATCGAGAACTTCTCCAAGAATGCTGTTTATTTGTTTTCTTCAATCTTCCAATGTAATTGTTTTGATTTTGTTTTTTGAATTTCATGCTTATACCACTAAGTATGAAGGTACAAGGGCTTTGAAATTAGTTTGACTAAAAACATAAGATGTTTGAATCTGAAAAGCACTTAGACTGATTGTTCTAGAATCAACTTCAAAAATATCTTTCATTAACTCTTAATTTTGTTACATTATATCAGTTGTAGTTGTGTCTTGATTGATTTATGGAAGTAGAGGTAGAGTCTGAACCATTTCAACTGACAATTTCTCATTTATGAAGTTTTGACTTCCATATGCAACTCTGTGTTAAAGTTTGAACCACACAGGTACAGTTTGTTCAAGTACCGTATGGGGCATAGTAATGTAATAGTCAACTCCAAACACATTCAATTCATGGCTGAGCAATTCTTTTCCTTTGCCAACAATCCAATTTTAATATCTAAAACGCCGATCCGGTAATGTGCATGAAAGGTAACAGATGTACAACGCATTTATGCACATTAAATGTGTCTAAAATGTGCTACTGTATAAGCTCGGTTCAGCGTCATCGCATATAGTGTCACTCCGCTTTTAGGGTCGGTTTTTCCTAGTAACTGATGTAGAAATCGCTAACAAATTGCGCCGCATTTAGCGTCTATCTGCATTTAGCGTCGTTTTTCTCGAGCAACATTCACTAACGCTAAATTGAGCTCATACTCGTACCTCTTATGCACATTCTTACGGGTATTGATGCATTCAATGTACATTTATGTGCATTTGCTTAACCAGGCGAACTGTATTAAGCATCACACTTGTAACTTTTAAAGTTTCCACTCTTAAAAAATGTGTAACAAAGTGTTTGTCAATAAGGGACATGCTGTAATTGAAAATTCTTGCAATTCATGTGGAAGTTTTCAAATTGTAGGATAAGCAGTCATTGTATGCTAAGAATAATGAATTGGTAATTGCGTAATACTTTTGTTTCCACATTAGTACTTTCAAGAGCTTATAGAGCATCAATATTACTTTGAAACAAATGAGTTAACTATGGTTCCATTGTGAATTGAGATTGTGTTGTATCTGAGCTTTTTGAGTATGCACTTGAGTTGTTCATCTATCATTGTTTCTTTCTTCAGCACCAATAATTCTTTAGGCTAGTTATGGCCTGATTCTTTCAAGTTAGGTGGTATAGTGAAGATACGCTGATTTTCCCTGAAAACTGATTAATATCGCACCTTGTAAAACTAATTTCACAATGTTGAAGCCCTTGAACCTGTCAAGCATGAACCCCTTCTCCTTTTTTGCCCCTTTCTTTTCTTCTTATCTTCTTTCTATTGTTTTGATTTTTTTTACAATTTACTGTAGCATCATCAGTAAGACCTGCTTAATTTGGAGCAGATTGTAGAATGATAATTGCTGTGCTGTTAATCAGGAAATTAATTGCTCAAGACTGATTGTGCCTGTGTAAGCAGGACATTCCTCGCACTCATGCATAATAAATTTTCAAGACTTAATTTTATGATTTTAAGGCAGTACCGAAAACTTTTGACCATGCCAGACTTATACGAGATTCTAAGACAACTAAGTTATTTTTTAATGAAGGCAATGCAAGTCTCTTGCAGAAATATAAGGTTGTGAATGATTGTTAATGTCAGTGCTATTTAATGTGGAATGAATGTTAATATATAGATGCATACTGTCAATTACCATGTTAGTGTTTGGGTTATTTGACATGATGTACTTAAAGAATGAGTATGTGTGCTGAATTTGAGATCTCTATAATTGTATATGTAAATTATCAGAAATGTACAAATTGTCATTTCCACAAAATGACCTAGTATTCTTTTTTAACAAATGTAAATTTGTGTAATTTTTCAATTAAAGTATCATCGTTGATGATATTTACGTAAGAGCCTTACTAATTATTTGACTCTTAACCATTTTCAACATTTTTTTATACAGCAATACACAAAGATTTATTTTTTAACATGTCAAGGTTAAACAATTTCTATATTCAAAAAAACAAAAGTAGAATGGTGTAAAAGTTTTACCAGTAGGTGTCACACCGTCCTTTGACTTGCAACTTACAATTGAGTCGCTGAGGAGCTGAAGACTTGCTAGCTTGGGCAAGTCATGAAAGTAAAAGTGTAAAAGTGAGATATTTGCATGATATTTGTGCCCCCTCTTCCCCCCCCCCTCCCCTAGGGACTCTCCTGACTCCCCCCCCCCCTCCCCCAATCACGAAAACTACTGCTGATGAGATGTGAGAGACCTGTGTCTGAATACAGCAGTCATATTTTCTTTTCCTCTGCTTCCTCATGTGAAGTCTGCTGGAGAATTTATATTTAAGAATACTGTATCCATCAATCAGAAAAGTAGTGTTTGAAGCAGAAATTTTTCGGACAACTTCTTCAGCCCGCTCGCAGATATGTTTGCGCAACGTCTTGGAAAGTTCCTGCTTCAGGTACGTGCATTTTAAAAATATTTTAATTTAAACTGTCCATCCAAAATTCCAGTTTCAGTAACTAATTTGGAATCTGGTGCTCCATTTTTTCATTATATTTGCTCGTGAGCAGGTAAGGTTAGGTATTACATTTGAAGAGGTTGACCAAATTATTTTGTTGACTCGCTCACTATTTTGATTGTATGCGTTCTGATTTTTTCCCGGTTTTGTTCACAGCGGTCTCCCCTTCTTGTGTCGCGGCCATTATCTACCTCTTGTTAGTAGTAAACACTGACCTTCATGGCATGTTGTGCTAATAACAAAGTTTATTATGTATATGTTGTACAATTAATTTTGGTTTACATAGATACGCTACAGTCTCCAAAAATTCCGGCTCCTGCACCTGATTTTAAAGGAACCGCTGTTTTAAACAATGAGTTTAAAGAGTTGTCATTAAAAGATTTCCGTGGAAAATATGTTGTGCTGTTCTTTTATCCTCTGGACTTGTACGTATTTAAGATGTTACAGAGTATCATCATACTGCTTATTTTACCTATAATTTTTATTTTTATTGACGAGAATCTTGTACTCTGTTTCAGCACATTTGTCTGCCCTACAGAGCTCATAGCATTTAGCGATCGCATCAAGGAATTTGACGCTATCAATTGTGCTGTTGTTGGCTGTTCATGTGATTCACATTTCAGTCATTTAGCATTTATTCAAAGATCTAGGAAAGTGAGTTTACATCAATAAGTCTCAATCATGCAATTTTTATTTATTATTAATATATTTATCTTGATCTGAAGGAAGGTGGACTTGGAGGACTCAACTATCCTCTTTTAGCAGACTACAAAAAAGAAATTGCTCGAGATTATGATGTTCTTCTAGAGGATGATGGAATTCCCCTTAGAGGACTGTTCATCATTGACAAAGAAGGAAAACTCAGGCAAAAGACTGTCAATGACTTGCCAGTAGGCCGAAGTGTTGACGAAGTTCTGAGACTTGTGAAAGCTTTCCAGTTTGTAGAGGAGCATGGAGAAGGTACTATCTCTTTGCTTTTGAGTGGAGTTCGTTTTGTATATATATTATGGTTAGAGGTAGATGGGCGGATAAATTCAGGATTAGCGATTGAAAACTCGAATTACCAATTTGGTATTCCGAAGTCTAGCCACTTTTACTGCTGGCTGTTATTAGCTTCAGCCAGTTAGGTGTAGCTGACTCTTTGGTTGAACCTAGAAATGCATTAGAGCTGAGAGATGGAGCAGTAATTTTTTTTCTTATTCACAATATACAGTATAAATAATTTTTTCTTCTAAGATTTGCTGGATCTGATTGACCTTAAAACAGGCTGCAGTGAAAGTGGCTATCCACAGAGCACCAAATCAGTCTGGTCAATCCAAGGTATAGCAAGCCATCTACCTCTAACCATATATATGCATCACAATAACTGAACTACATATTAAGTTTGTCAAAACCTAGAAATAACTTGCTAAGTCCAGGATCACCTAAGCCACTTTTCTCAGTGCTTGTAGCTGATATCATGGCAAAACCTGTTTGTGCTTACTATTGTTGAATGGGTTACTGGCCTCAAAAGGGAGAGCAAATGCTAAAACTGTTAAAAAACAAAACAAAAAAAAAAACAAGTAAAAAAAAGCAGCCACATACAACCAACCACACTAAATAATCAAATTGCCTTGGATGATCCTGAATTTAGCAATTTGAGTGAGACTTTACAGTTACGTTTAAAAACACAATAGTAATTTTCCTTGTGTTCTTGACAGTATGCCCTGCTAATTGGCAGCCTGGGAGCAAGACCATCAAAGCTGATCCTCAAGGCTCTCAATCTTATTTCCAGTCTGCAAACAAATAAATCGTATCTCTTTTGTTGGATAAGGTTTGTATGAAATGCATTTATACTTTATGTTCCAATATTTTTCTTGATTATAAATTACATTGGAAATATACAATTGTGTAAATGACTAGACATCAATTTCTTGCCGATCTCATGAATTGTTCACAAACTTTTTTCTCTCTTTATCTCTTACCAAAATCACTGTACTTTGGAGATTTTGCAAGATTAGATTCTTTTTAGCCCAAACAAATGTGTCAGCTGAAGGCATTTCTGTCACAACAGAGTACATCTTCGTTTTAATCATAGGACCATCTTGATTACATTCCCATATAAAAATTTGATTTCCAGCAGAACTTGCAAATTTTGCCTTTCTTGGATGCCACTGCAATGCTGTTAATAGAATTATAGGACAGAGTAAGATTAACAACAGTTTTATTAAGTTCATTTTTGTTTTTTTGGTAAATACTTACTTTTGTGCTGGAGATTGGTTAATTTACAAGGATTACAACATTCCTTTAGATTCCAAAGCATCAAGGCATCATCTGATAAGGATGATGCTAAAAAGTTGCCACAATGACTGAAAGCCAACTTATTTGCAGCATGTAAGTGACTGCTGGATTCCAGATTGAATTTCTGCTCCAAGATTGCACTTAATTGCCAGTTACCCAAGTTGTAGAGAAGAATTAAATTTACCTTAAATTAAATTAGAGAGAAAAATTAGTTCATATTCATAGTTCAGGCATTAGTGCTTTGATGCTAACTTATAACAAGGAAAACACCTTTTCGTTATCTTTGAAGCACGTAGCTGCTAACAAGTTTCGGGAGAATAAGGTGAATAAAAATCCAGATGCAAAAGGGTCATCATAATGTAGGGTATGCACATTTTCTCCATTCAAGTCAAAGAAAATTAACTTTTTGGAGTAATCCCAGATAGCAAACATGTCTGAGTTTTGAGACCACCTCAAGCCCTTTATTATAAAAAGCTCTAGTTTTTTCATCTAGAAACAAAAGAAATATGTTCTTAATCTCCTCAACTTGACAACAGACACTTGTTTTTCTAAGAATATTTTTACCCAAAGAGTAACCCATAAGGAAGCTGACAGCAATGCAATATGGTAAGAAAAGGCGTGATATGTAATAGAAGCCAAATATTTCCCATCAGAGCTGAAGGCCAACAATGGCTTTTCTTCTTTTGTACTGCAAATACTTGGTATCAGTATTTTCCTCCCATCACAGATGCGGTGTACACATGAAAAAATCTGAAATCAAATAAATCAAAATGAAGTGGAAGGAACCCACAAATTTGTCAACAGTTAGTGTCATTTATCAAGTAAAACACTACTTACGTTGCAGCTAGACACTAGAATTAAACATTTGCTATCAGGAACCCAGTCAATAAAAATAAGTTTGGCCGGAGGAGGTTGTTGAATCCTATATGTTGTAAGATCCTCAGTTTTGTGAATGTTCTGTACTAGTACAAAATAGGTACACTGAATAGAAATGATCAGAAGTGCTTTAGAGTCAGGCGACCATTTAATGTCCTGACAAGAAAGTGTGATAGTGGGAAATCGAATTGGTCAATTTAGCATGTTTGACACGATTAGAGTAAGAATTGCAATAACTCCTTTGACCCACCTCTACTTCAAAATCAGAATGATACACCAATACTTCTTCACTTAAGAACCGATTATAATCCAATTTGAAAATTTTGATTGATCTTTTGAGAGCAATTACAAATAGCTGGCTGTTTGGAGAAAACTTAATAAATGTACCTCCATCGCCGCCATGCTCGTTTAGCCTCCACTGTTTGTACTTTCCTGCTTGTGACATTGTCGGATTTCACAAGTGCAGTGAAGTAATTCTGTTTTAACATAAGTATTTATTGTTATTATTATGATAAAAATTCAAAGAACCGGCGCTATGCTTTGTTTTGTTTCCTTCATGATTATTCGCAGATTACCCCCCCCCCCTCCTCCCTCCCCCGCTTTTCCAGAGCCGGAGTCCACGACGTATTTCTTGTGTACCTGCAAATGTGTATTTTCTGCATGTCAGTAGTCCACTGAGGGATTGTACCCGGAAGACAATTCATTTCGCCCGTTGAAACCGATTTTACATTTAAACCTTACTTATTTCTCCCAAATTTCTCTCCTCTCTCCCGTGGTCAACTTAATAGGTACCCATCATCCGTAGCCAGCAGTGATGCCAAATTTTCTCTTTCCGGAGGGCACATAAATTTTGCAATGCGTGTTGTCAGATGCGATTGTTTGTGCCCTGATCAATGTGCTGTGTATCCTTAACTCTCGTGCCCCCTCTAGTCAAGATATTTTTGTTGGGCTACCCTTGAGAGATTTCTGATGTGTGCATCAGCACTGGTTCATCCTGAACAGCAGACGCCTGTTCCGTCAGTGACATTTTCGGTCTCTGCTGCTGTGACGATTGAGGTGAAACCGGGACACATCTCTAGGACTAGAACAGTCTTGATAGTTGCAGTTTTACTTCACCCCAAAAAACGGAACAGTTTTTCAAATTATTTGGTGACTACAATATAGATAGAAGCATCGCTTTTAAATTACCGTTGTTATGTTCATTGGCCTTGTAATATGGACGTTAGTCATCAGCTCGTTTGCCATTTACCTGTTGATTAAGTAATTGCTACCTCATCTCTCTCAGACATTATCTGGGTCTCTGTTTTTCTTTGAATGCTGATTATGAACTTTATTTGAGAGTTTCCACTTATGTTCTTTCTTCCGGTAGTTGTAGTAATGTCAATGATTAAGCATTGTCATGTATGGTATACCCTCATTACTGAATCATTATTGTCACTCATTCACAGAGTATGTTTGTCATGGACTAATTTGCTTTTCTAATATTTTGACACACCACCCTGTATCTTCCATATTATCTCTCATTTTTTTTTTTTTTTGATCGAGGGAGACATATACTTTTAAATGCCCTTCTATTTCATGAAGGTTAACCATAGTTATTGTATTGTACACAAACATGAATATATAACAGTTCTAGAACTTGCACCCCTTTGAAACTTTAGCCACCTTCTTTTCCCAGATTGAACTAAAATGTTCTTTACCAATTTATTTATTCTAACTCTCAATCTAACTTAAATTCAATTTATGTCTGTTTTTTGCAGGAATAGCTTTATAGTCTTAGGCAATGGAGTTTTATATGATCGAAAAGTTTAAGTGCTTGCTGAAAGATGGCCATTGGCCTGTCAGCCCTGAAGGTACATTCCAAATCTCTGAATTCGTTCGCTGGTCCTTTTTAAAAACTGGAGCTTTCAAAAGTAAAACTCATGATATTGTTTATCTGTTTCACAGGCATTCTCATATCATTGGATGATAGTGAAGATTCCTTTGATTCGGCAGCTGAAGAAGAAGATGAAGAATATTTAAATGGTATTTTCTGCTCGCATTCTTCTCTTAAAACTCATATACATACCAATGGATGCCCTCAAGCACATTTTAAACAAAGTATGTATTATGTACTACGTACTCCTCAATACTTATGACTAGCGTTTTTCAAAACAAATTATCCTCTCCCCTCTCACCAGTTTTAATGAAAGAGATGCATGAACGTGATAAATATGCTCAACAATCAGCTCAAAATGCTGCGGAACTGTTACAAGAAGAAGAAGATGAAAAATTGAAAGTTGAACGGAGAAAAGAAAGGAAAAGAAGGAAGAAAGAACGGAAAAAGGCTGAAAAAGAAGCCAACCACAGTGGCAAAAGTACTGAGAATGGGGATCTTAAAAATGGAAACTTAAATAATATTCATGAGGGTATTAAGAATCATGATAAAAATAAGAAGGATACAAATAGTACTCCTGAAGATGACAGAAGTGATCAAGATGATAATGATGGCTTCCTTGATGTTAATTCTGCCTTTGTTACCAAAGTTGTCAAACATAAACTTAAAAGTAATGGTAATAATAATGTCCATAGCAGAGGTAGTTCTACTAATATGTTGAACTCTGCTCATTTTGTTAGCCCCACAAAGCAGTCTTCCAATGGCACAAGAATAGTTCCCATTCCTGAGAAAAATATACATCTAGGTGAACGGCTGGCTGTTGCTGGCTATCAGTGTGCCAGCAAAGAAAATTATGAGCAGGCCATTGAGCTGTTCACACGAGCTCTTCGCAATGTTCCTAATGATCATCGTTATTGGGGCAACCGTAGTTTTTGTTATTTCCAAATTGGAGCTTATCAACAGTAGGTTATCCATTATTGTCACATGTTTGTGTTACTAAAAAAATATCACCTTGTGTAGTTAAAAGAAATAAAATAAATTATTTGTTTCAGAGCTCTTGAGGATGCAGAATGTGCTATTCAACTAGCTCCCAACAGTCCGAAAGGACACTATCGAAGGGCTGAGGCTCTGGCAGGACTAAAGGTGTTGCACATATTTGAATTACTGAAAACTTATGTCTCTTCTTACTCATTCCTGATTATTTTTTATGTCAATTCTGTTAGGATTTAGTCACTGCTGAAAAGTCATTTGAAAAAGTTTTGGAGTTGGATGTTGAATGCAAAGATGCTATGGATGAATTGTTAAACATACGCATGTTACGCCTCACGGAAATGGGATTTAGTAGGAAACAAGCTTTTGCTGCTTTAAAAAAACATACAACGCTAGAAGTGAGTACAGAAAATGGTTCTCTATAGAAGGTGGTTTCCTCTGTATGTGCTATAATTTCTTCAGTCTTCATCATTTGGAAATTATTCAACTGCTTTTGTCATTTTGCAGGCTGCTGTAGAAGCATTAATGTGTAATGAAAATTTGAATATTGACCTTGAGGAAGAGGAAGATGAAAAAAATATGGTGTATCAGTCAGATGAAGATATTAATTGGGACAATATTGGTGTTGATGATCCTATTGATACTGACGGAAACAATTCCTATTATCAGCATATCACACACACTCAAAACATGCAATATAGTCAAAACTCAACCCAAGATCCAGATCACAATATTGAGGACGATATTGATAATATAAACAGAATATCTAAAAAGCAAGCAGCAATGGAGTATGTGATTTTATTTATTGCTGTCACAAAGATAAAATATCGGGAATCTATGATAACAATTCAATAAATTTCTGTTACAGTCCTTCTAACCCTAATCGTTGTGTTTCAATTTGGGTGGGCAACATTGAAGACAGCATTGCAGAGAAAACTTTGAATGATGAATTTTCTAGGTAATTTTTTGAGTTACTATTCTTTAGCTATGTTGTCTCACTCAACCATTTGTGTGTTTTTTTTTCTGTCTATGTTCATAGATTTGGAGAAATTCTTAGTATACGTATGTTACCATCAAGTCATTGTGCATTTATCAATTTCAAAGATAGCAGAGCCCCTGGGCCTGCTATGGCTGCCATGCAGGGTAAAGAACTTGGGGGAAGTAAGTTAATAATTCGTTATCCTAATAAGACCAAAGAAGAGCAGCATATCCATCAACAGATGTTATGTCATCAGAAACGTTTGCAATCTGTCATAAGTGATAGTGAATTAGATTCTGCTGGTGCATCCGGAGGATCGCCACAATTACCAATTGCAAATACTAAAACAACTTTTGTACCAACTGCCAAAGGGTGAGTGTTAATTGCTGACCTCTTACTGTATTAGAGTTTTGTGAGGGATTTCTCTTTCTACATACATGTTATCTTTTATTTCAGGACTCGTATTAAATTGAAAGGACCTGTCAATGGTGATGAATGTTACTACTGGAGAACAACGGGCTGTGCTTTTGGTGAAAACTGCCGAAATAAACACATTAAAGAAAATCGTGGTGTAGACCGTAAGCCATGGCATAAGTAAATTATTCAAAAGTAATTTATTCTTTGTCTATGACTTGTCCATGTACTGATTGTAGCACTTTGTCTGGATTTGTGTCCTGTTGATGTTATTGTGATAAGAAGGCATGAGTGCCAAGTTAATGTAGTTACATCTAAGCCTTAGATGACTCAATGTTGATCTTAGAATTTTATTCTGCTTTGCTGGCAGTAAAAGAAATCAAACCTCTTTTTTGACTTCAACACGTGATAGTTTCAGTTCTATGTGAGTGAAAATCCCTTTCAGTTATAACTTCATAAAAACAGTAGGAATTTTTATTTTTTTTAAATTATAAGCATTTGGCCTTTATGTCCAGTAAGAAATTGTTAAAAAATGACCATGTATTATCCTCATAATTTGAATTTATTCATCATATTTGGAGAAAGAAATTGGTATGTTTAATCTTGGGTGAGCATGAAAGGAGGTGTTCAAAATGACAAACTTAAGGGTAATTTATGAATCAATTACTTCAGGATTGATAGGCTTGACTTTTGTTTTGTGGAAAACAGACTTTAAACTTACCTCCTGAAAAAGTTCAGTTCTTCTTTTGGCTCCTTCTATTTTTAAATGAAGGACGTTGTTGACAACACTTATTGGCTTCAGAGACTGATGGAAAATAATCAAGTTTTGTTGTAGAGAAGCTCGTTTTTGCTATTGTAAAACAGTCATGCTTTCACGGTACTTATGTTTGAGGATCAGTCTACACTTCTCTAAAACTCTATTACTGTTGAAACATGAAACTTTTGTGTACTTGCCTTTCAAGGAACACTTCATCTTTTTGGCCTATCAGATCTAGTAATTGGTTTACATAATTGGTCACAAAGAAACATTTTAGTCACAGGAACTTAGATGCAGGTCTAAATGAGCCTATTACACTGTATCTTTACATTACATTTTCCTATATTCTTAACGGTCCTGTTGTGTTTTCTTGTCCATATCGTAACAAATGTCACATTTCCTATGATATACATAATATGATAGTCTGTTTGCTTAAATGTTCCCACATTCATATTTGTTGTTGTTTTGTTGTTGTTTTGAATCAGAGCTTTTATCAATCAATATTTATTATCTAATCTTAATGAGAATACAAAGTGCTACATTAAAGGGCATTTTTCTTTCAATCGGTAGACTTGCATCTGGTCCTAAGCTCATATTTTCTTTTGTTGCCCTGGTACATACCGAAGTGTCTCAATCTGGTCTGTGATATTTTTTGTACTACATACTATTGGAGCATCCAAACAATAAATTGTAGTATTTTAAGAGTCTGCAGTTGGATGCCTTTATCTTTGTAATTCTTAATGAGTAAAAACAATCACAGAGTCAGAATTAAATTAATCTCTAATCTATATGAGAAACTTTTTATAAGGTTTTTAGTACGACCCAAAAACTAGTAATGTATCATTTTTCTCTCTTTTTTCTGACACCTGTCAATTATGTCTTAAGATTGCTTCTCAAGTCTATTTAAATTGTTGTAATAGACAATTTGTCGTGGTCCAGGGGAATGGTATAAAGAGGAGACTGTTGCGAAGGATAGGGACTTCACTATCCTTCTAGCAAACTAGAGGTGCTTATGTTTTCTTTGACATACTCTTCTTGTAACTGGCTACCCTCAACAAAATCTCTGCAGACATGTCAGTCAGGCACACCTATTATATCCTATTGTCATTCTCAAAATTAGTTATAAAATTGTAGTTCTTACTAATCTCAGTTTTTTTAATGTGGTGGGTTGAACCCATGGAGGTGTTTTCAAAAGGTGGATGTGCTTTGTTCACCTACTAATTTGTGTGATAACTTTGTTAACCTATTATACCTTACTCTCTGTTCCTGTGCTGTCATCTATTTTACAGAATATTTAACGCTTAGGTCCTTTTGAAGATGTACTAGCTTGCCTTGTACTAAGCAAGCATTGGAATGTAAAAAAGAACAATATTACGTATTAGTCACATCATCTCATGTTGTTGTTTTTTTTTGTCTCTTTTTCAATAAATTCCCCAATTGAAACCATTTAGCCTCATTATGATCAACCCCGTGCAAGACATTTCATTAAGCTCTCAGTCGAGCGTCAATGCTGGTCAACGTGCGCTGCGACGTTGACCCAGTGACCTTTCCAGCTTTTCAGACCCCTCCCTAAGTTTGCCTATCCGCCCTTCCCTTCCTGCCGTGTCTCGCTTTCTGTCTACTCCAGCCCCACCCGCAGTGCAGTATGGATTTTCAGGGCGGGTCCTGGTTCTAGGTCTGAAAAGGCACTTGGTCCCTCAAACGGACCCATACTAACTGCATTTTACCTTAGTATATGGATCGTCACGCTACGACTATCATTATTACAGTTATCAAGGGGTTGAAAAAAATCAAATTGCCCGCCTTTACAGTATGTGAATTCGGACGTTTAGAGTGAGAAGGCTGTGAAGTTTATGATAAAAAATTATTTATGTACGACTGACATTCTTATCTGTCAATGCGTCAATGTGCCTCGTGTGTTTCGGAAAGAATATCTCAGAAATAAATGCGTGTTGTTCACCTTCAGATTTTTCTTCGTAGGTGGAATGTCAGCTGAATCTTATTAATTTCTGAAGACATATATTTATGATGAACCATTGAAGTATGTCGAAGGACAACAAATCTGGTTGAAGGGTTGGGTAAAGTAAAAATTCTTCATTGAAACTTTGAATTTAAAAAATCATGTCTACTTCAACAACTCCGGCAACCCCTGATAGTCTCTCCAAGTCAAAGAGACCTTCTGGTAAGTCGCTTTTCTTTTAACTTTGAAGTTTGTAGGTTAGAGACATACTACTGTCCAAGTAGCACAAAGTAGGTTTTCCCACAACAATGTTATTACCAATGTTTGCGTTTTGAAGAAATGTTGAAGTATGATGTGCTTAATATGTACTCGTACTATTCTAACCTGACATGAAAACTACAACTTTGGAAGTTGGTGGAAAGAGGAAGGTTGCCCCCTCCCTTCCTTTCAAGGATGTATCTTGAATGTTTTTAAATGTCTTTCAGATAGTGCATTCAAACAGCAAAGACTTCCAGCATGGCAGCCTATACTTACTGCCGGTACAGTACTCCCTACGTTCTTTGTTATTGGCATAGCCTTTATTCCTGTCGGTGTCGTCCTTCTCCATTTCTCAGATAAGGTACTTAAAATTTCAAAACTTCCACATCTACTCTTAAAGTGGTACTCTGTCAATTAAAGAATCTTATGACTATAGGTGCAGGAGATTACTATTGACTACACAGATTGCAACAGTACTTCTCCGGGTGTGCCACAGAAGTGCTCAGATATTTTGCAATCAGAAAAGCACTGTGAGTGCAAATTGGAGTTCAAACTAGAGCATGACTTTGAAGTAAGTATTTCCTTGCTAAGGTATTTCAATTTTATGTACTGGTTTAATATTTATTAGGAAACCTGTTTGAAAGTATAATATTAGGAAAAGAAAAACATACACAATTTTGTTCCAGGGGAAAGTTTATATGTATTATGGTCTCACAAATTTTTATCAAAACCACCGTCGCTATGTGAAGTCAAGAGATGACAACCAGCTGTTGGGTAGACTGAGCACAACTCCTGCATATGATTGTATGCCATTTAATTACAACAACAATGTCTCTGGAGAGCCTCCTAAACCAATTGCACCCTGTGGAGCAATAGCCAATTCTCTCTTCAGTGGTCAGTTTTATAGCAAGTTTTTGTCTAACTTACATTCCTTTCATGCACTTTATGTACATGTTATTTCTGTATTTTACAGATAACCTAACCATCATCAATCAGAATGGAGACTTAGTACCTCTCAATAAAACTGGAATTGCTTGGAATTCTGATAAGAATCATAAATTCCGCAATCCAAAGCTAGACCCTGATGAGCCTGACAAATTTTCGGCTCTGGAGAAAGGTTGGTTTCTTAATCCAAGGTTTGTGTGTGTTATTTTTATTCATTTATTTCCTAACTTTGTCTTGTAACTTATTTTGTAGCATTCAAAGGGTATGCAAAGCCTAATTTGTGGCAGAAAAATGTTTGGGAGCTAGATCTTGAGGACCCTGATAACAATGGCTTCCAAAATGAAGATCTCATTGTGTGGATGCGAACAGCTGCTCTGCCAACATTCCGCAAGTTGTACAGGCGCATTGATCACAGTAAAGTAGGTTACAAGGACGGATTACCTAAAGGAAACTACACACTCCGAGTAGAATACAGTAAGTAGAGCTTTGGTTTTTTGATTATTTTTTTTTGGTTTACAAATATATCCTTAGTTAGGATTAGTAAATTTAACATTTTTCTTATTTATCTTAGATTATCAGGTTGCCTCATTCGATGGAAGGAAAAGAATGATACTCTCTACCATATCACCACTGGGAGGTAAAAATCCATTTTTAGGCATTGCATATATTGTTGTTGGCTGCATTTGTCTCCTGCTTGGTATTGTTTTCCTTTTCATCCACATAAAATGTGGTAAAAGGTAAGTTGTTTCCACTTGATGAATTTTATGGATTTTACTGCTTACAGCCTGCTTTTACAATTACAATCTAATCATTTTTTTCTTCATTTCAGCACTGCTGATGTCATCAATGTGAATCCCAGAACTCCATATTAAGCAATGCATCTGTTAAAAAAGACTAGCAGTGGTCTATGCTTTTCTAAATGTTGCTTAAATTTTAGCTTTTTATTTTCCATTATTTTCATATGGACTTATTTTGGGAGTCTACAATTCCATCTCTCCTGTCGGTTTTTAGAGAAGATTCTCCAACATCAATGAATTAAAAATACCTAATTCTTGTATACTTAATTTGGGGTACCTTTTGGTGGGATTGATAAAGCAATGTTTGTTGCAGGATTATTTCTTTCTTTCCTTTTTTAGGTTCCTATGGCTATTTCATAGCCTAGATTTTTTTTTTCAAATCGGAGCACGACGTAGACCTTAAACTGTGTTTACAATTTCTCTAAACAGTTGACAAGTTACTGCTTGTTCTGTTGCATATTTTTTGTGAGACTATATTTTCAAACTTTGATTGCCCTCTTTATTTAAAATAGTTTTGTTCTGTATTTTTACCTTTATGCTGTACTGTATTTCAGAAGACTTTAAATGAATATTTTGTGATCAAGGGCACTGTAGGGCATGTTTCCCAATACCAACTATATATTTCAGTACTTATCATGGAAGTTTTACACTCTTTTTCTATCGCCTATCGCACTGTCATATTTTTGTTATTTTTAGAGAGTTGTTCACATTAAAGTCTCTAAGGAGGCAATTCCTAATTTTAACCTCTTGTCATGTGTAGTCACGAATACTTAGTTTGTGTTAGAAGTTTGAAAGCTTAAAAGAACCCACAACTTTTTAAAATATATATTTTGGTTACATTAAGAACTATTGGAAAAAATCGTTTTCATCTTTAAATGGTACAGTGGCTGGAAGATAAGTTCTTTCAATAGTAAATAGATGAAAGATAGGAATACACGTCAAATCATTGTCTTTTAGTGATAGGGTTTTATTGACAACATTTACACATTGTTATATTGAATGAAAATGTTATTGCCTGTTAATTTTGTTATTCTGTGTTATGCTATTAAGAGCTATAGTTACCTACTTTTAATTTTGTCTCTGTGATTTCCTTATGATTACTAAATTGAATGTGGTTTCTAAGGCATGATTATTATTATTTGTATGTGCTCCATAATGTGATGGCTTTGAAATAAACCTGAAAGAATATGTTCTTGTGATTTCCTGAAGTTCCAACTTCCGTTTCATGAATTGTGGAAGGCTAGGGACATCTTGGCTCTTGATAAAGATTAGGACACAACAAATGTTAAATGCTTAATTCTACCTGAGTGACTGTAGCTGAAACTAACTCTATCCTCTGCCGAAAATCTATTCTTATCTGAATTCAATCTTGAACTACAGTAGTGGCTTACACTTGATGGCTTACCACTTCTTGGCCATAGTGGAGCCACCCGTAAGTGCGCCTCCCCCACTGCGTATCTCTGGGAAACGTCCCCCTTGAAATTAAGACAAAAGATTTTATTTCATTATTCTTTACCAAACAATCCGGACAGAAGACATAACTGTAAATTCTAATAGCATTTGACTTGATCAAGGGTTTACAGAGACGGCTCCGATTGTCCGAAGCTCGTTTGTCCGAACCTAATTTATCTATTTTAGTAAATAAA